CCCCCCCCCCCCCCCCAAATATCTTTCTCTTATATCGCATTTGCAGGTGTTGGTAACATCATTTAGCGAGATTGATAAGAATGATTATCTTGATCCCCGGACGGCCCAAGTTGCTATACTGGACCATGTGAAGCAAGTAAGTTATGTGTTTTCTTAAGTCTATTGGCTATTGCATCTTACGGTTTGGAAATAAAGATATCTAGGGCAGTTTTTGGTTGTTATGCTGTTTGAGGTGAAATTCAGATAAATTCAACATAAAAGAACCTTAGTTTCAAACTACTTGAAGTCAGCTAAATGAGTTTGGTTTTGTTTTCATCTCTTTGCTCTCTTAAAGTTATATCCTAAATTAGACGTCAGGTCTTTCCTTCTTATTGGCCTTAGTCTGGTAGAATTTGTCAAGGGAAATATTTTGTCATCATGGGAGATGAGACAAATCTTCAAGGCACATTCTAAATTTTGTACTTTGTAACTATATTTCTCTAAATATTATATATTAAATCAATCCCTAAAAATGAGGGGAAAGATAATAATCTAGATATTGGAATCCATTTATGTAGGTATTACGCCAATCTAAAATACATTATTATCAAGCTTTTTCTTTGCAGAATTAATTCTTTGTACTACTATCATGTTAGCTTTTGGCATTAATGATGAAGGTAGCGTAGTGCTTGAGGCTCTTGTTTTTGTGGTGTCTAGGAAGATTACATGTAACAAACTTCAGTTTAAAAAACACAATGAAAAAAGAAAAATTTCTCCCATCGCATCATTAACTAGTGTAAAATTAAAGATCAGTTCTAGGATTCGAGTCAAATTGACCTTCTCACTCATCTCTGGTTGAGGCAAGGAATTCAATCAAATGTTCGTTGTTCAATATCTTGGATGCTTAAGAAGTTGGACTAGCTGTTCCTCCGACCCAAAGTGGATTCTAGGTGAAGGGTAGAGTCTCACCTTCTAGTAAGAAGGTGTTTGTAGCTGGGATGGGTTCAAACTAGATATTTTTTTGAATGGAGAGTAGATTGATTTATGCGCAAGAAATCAAGGTTGCTTAGATTGGGAGGTTGACATTGTGAAATAGGTTGATGGATTCTACTTACTGTATTAGAGAACAGTAAAGAAAACGGGAGGAGATTAGAAACTAATCATGAAATAAGGATGATTTACAATTGTTTTGAGATGGGATGGTAACATGATCTTTGAGGAATAACATAATGCAGTGTCATTGAAATTTAGAAAAGTTGAAGTAGCAGTAAGAGATCCTAGGTATATGAGACTAGATTTTTGGTAGTCAGGTGCATTAAGAGTGAATAGTTAAGGGTTTGGTCAAAGATGAGGAACTAAAGAAAATCAGAAGAATTACTTTGAGAAGTATTAGACAAAAGTTATTTGGGATCTTTGGAAGAATATGATAAAATTAGGAAAAGCTAGTTTGCTTTTTGCTTTTTCATAATTAAATCAAAGACCATCGGTGGATAAGTATAATTAAGAATAAATATATAAGGAAATGCCTTGGGACCAAATCAAATTTGGACTAAGGGAATGAAGTGATATAGATGATGTTGTGCCTCAGTTAATGAAATTGGTTGACAAGATCAGAACAATTAAGCAAAAGCCGTTTGATATCAAGCTTGCTAGCCAAGAGAGATGAGACTATAGATTGTTGGTAGCTAAGTGCATTAAGAGTGAAGAGTTAAGGGTTTTTGTCAAAGATGAGGAGTTGAAGAAAGTTTGAAGAGTTATTTGAGAAGTATACACAAAAGTTATTTGGGATCTTTGGAGGAATATGATAAATTAGGACAAACTAGTTTGTTTTTTGCTTATTTGTAATGAAATCATATGCCAATGGTGGATAATAATTATTAAGATTAGGGGAAATTTTAGTTTTTCCCCTCGTGGTTTACTCCAATTGCACATCACCTCCCAAAATATTAAAAAACATATAACCCCCCTATGGTTGTTGGAATAAAACACACCGTTACATTTTCTATTCAATCTAACTGACCAAATGATGTGCCATCTGAAAGAATGGGCATGAAAAAGACAATTTGAAAAGACAAAAACACCCTTACCTCCCTTTGCCCTCTTTCTTTCACCAAATTCTCTACCCCACAGTTTCGTCTTTCTCTCTCTATCCCCCCTTCCATAGATTTCCTCTCTCTCGTCAACAACCGTAACCACCACCACCCACTTCATACTTTTGATAGGCACAACCATGGATGATCACCCACTTCTCCTTTTGTCTCTCTCCTATCAACAACCACTACCACCCACCACGACTTTCGATTGCCACGACCACTTATGATCACGTCCTTTCTCTTTCTATTAACGACCATTTTGAACTGATTTTGTTCCAGTTTTTATTTGTTTATTGTGATTTTTGGACTATGTTATTTTGGTGATGGTATACTATGGTGATGAGTTATTAGGCTTTGGTTTTTTGAGATTGTGATTGGTGATGTTGTAGGGAGTGCAGCGAGAGTCCCTTCGATCATCCCCGCACTAGCTAGCGATTTTTGTATTTTTCCTAGTTTTTGCTAAACAAAGTCACCTCTGTTGTCTAAATAATCTTTTTCCTTCCGATGTTTGGAAAATCAACATGAAGAGCAACTGACATCAGTTTTAACCAAAATGAAAAGAAAGTGGGACAATTTGAATCATAATGATAAGAGCGAGTGTTGATTTGAATTGCGGTATGTCCCAGTTTTGGGATTCTTTGATGTATCTCCCATTTTCTCATGTCTCCCGATTTCTTCTTTTTTTTTTTCAATTCATTGGTTGTCAAATCTGTGATGGATGGATTGTTAAATTGGGGGTGGAGATAGAAGTGATGGGTTGTTGAATTTGGGGATGGATGGACGGTGATGATTGAAATAATGGTCTTGCTGTGCAGTTGCCAACTTACTGTTACTGTTTTTTTGGTGTAACTGTACATCAGTGGTGGCATGACTTTGTAAATTTGATTTTTTTTATTATTTATTTGGTTTGTTGAGGGGGGGTGGTGGTGTGGTCTGTTAGATTGGAGAAGAAGCTTGGGGTGGAGTTATCGAAGAAGAAGAGTTGAGGTTATAATCTTGTCATTAATAGGGTGATTTAGTGCATTTTAAACAAACATCAATTTTAACTCAATGCAACCACAATTATTTTTTCTCACAATGATATGACAATTGAAGTGAGAATCCCATTTAACATGAACAACATAAACTAGTCATGTGAATTGATGTATGAATTAGTCAATTGAAATATTAACACTCAATTTCACAAAGACGGAAATCCCCAATCAAAGTTCCACTCACCAAAACCCCTATTTACTGACTTGAAAGATAAACAATCAATACATCAAACTCATGGTGTTTGTGTGTGCATCAATTTTTAGTGTATAAGTAAATAAAGCAATAAAGAGACATAAGCAATTGTTGACGCAAAAACTCTCCTTGGAAAAAATTGCAGAAACCTTCTCAGTTCACCAAAACCTATTCCATTAAACCCAAAGTTGATCTACAAATATTTGAGTCTTATACCTCAATCAATCCACATGGCTAGACACTCATTTCCTTCAATATATATCTCCGTCGAAACTTTCTATTCAACGTTATGGGTAGCTTCACTTAGATTCTCTACATAAATGGATCCTTTAAGTCTCAAGCAATCTTTAAGGCTTCACACCCAAGACTCTTGGAATTCACACTTCTTCAATGAGTTTTGGTTTCCCCCAAATAAGATCTTCTTCAATGTGTGATGTTGCATAGAAGAATCAAGATGGTTGACCTTTTGGTCTTAGGGATCGATTATTCTCGAAGCTCTCTAAAGAACAGCTTAAATAGCTGCAACAAACTCTACCACCTCCTCCCTGTGTCTGAGGCTCGTCTGTATCAATAAAACCCTGTACCAGTAACATGTGTCTGAGATGCCGAACGTCCCAGCAAATATTCCTCTGATCTCTTAGAATACTAGACATCCCCTTATAAAGTGCATCTAGTCTGAGAGTAGGAAGGTTCATGGTTCTAAACAACGGTAACGGTCGTTGTAACGGTAACCGTAATGATATAACAGACGTGAGGTGAAATGGACGATATGTAATGGTCACGGAAATTGGTAGCGTGAATTTTTTTTTCGACTCACAACCCCCCACAATATGAATATTTACATGTTTTAACTATAAAATTATGTAAATACGAGTGTTTAATGATATTTAGTGCATTTTATTATATTATAAACATGATAATAAAATATTAAAAGTATTTGTAATATTTCTTAAATTGTGACACCCGCACAACCTTCATTAAAACAATTAGTGAAGTAATTTAATCTGATTAGTAAAGTAGAACAAAGATTTGACCAAAATATAAAACAAAGCAGCAGATCGTGTCTTAAAAAAAAATCCAAAAGGGCCAGTGGCTTGGAGACTAGTGGAGCGGCATGGAGAGTGGAGATCTGGCCGTTCAATGCGTCTTCGACAGTTCAACACAAGCAGTGAGCACGAATCCAAAACGCAAGATCCGAAAGCAACCTCAATACCGTTCGATAGTTGTGGTTTCAGGTCTTTTGGAAGTTTGATGTAATCAAAGAGTTGAAAGTAACCTCAAGAACCGAGATTTGGAACGTTTAGGTGGGTCTTTTGCCTTCTTTGTATCTACTTGAAGGATTTTCTAGATCTGATGGAAAGAAGATGAGAGAGAACTTAGCTAAATCTAGTTTTTCAATAGAAGAAACTTTGAATCGATGTTCTAGTTGTAACGGATCAAATTGGCTCAATTTTACCCCTATCACCAGTTACTGTGCCGTTACGGGACTGTAACGGCCATTATGGCTGTGAAATGTATTATACCCGCTATATTGGAGTGTAACGGGATCGAAGCTTGACTTTACCATTACTTAACGACTGTTATGCGCCACAACAGCCAATTTTCAAAACCCTGTGCTAAGGCTATGTTGTTGATCTATACTACTCTATAAATGACCTAAAGCTGTGTGAACAAGTGATCCACTGATTAAGTGCTGGTGCTAGAGGTGTCCTAGGGAGTGTGGTACATGAGGTATGGACTCGTGCCTACCTTGATGGTGGTGCACTAGATGAGCCAGGCTCAGAAGTGGTATGAGCATGTAGCTCATCCTCCATTTCATCTCCCTTTGCCTCGGCCTCCATAGCGTCAGGTGAGTAATGTGCATGCGTCTCACTTTATCTCAGTGACTCCTTCCTTAGAGGACTTTTAGGTCTTAACAACTGATGTGTGATCTAGACATATTTGGTTGATAAGAGACCCAAATGGTGGACTATCAGTTATCCTCTCCTTAAGAAATACTCTTCGAATCACTCTAAAGATCACTCGTAGCAGATCTATCTCTAAACCTATACCAATGGCATGTAAAAAGTAAGCCCAGGGTGTAAGAAAAGTAGATATATGTGATTTCGAATCTATGTTGTAGTTGGTGATCAAATTGATGAGTTGATAATCCCTAGTCAAGTCTTCTAGTACCATAATGGGAGGTTCCAACCATCAGGGTAAGGGACTTCGTGTAACACAGAAGCAATAACAGTCAAAGTGGGTAAAACACTCTCTGGTCTAGAATGATAAGGATTATGTGCTACCCGAGGAAGATGTTGGGTGGTGGCAATCAGGTCTGTGGAGAACTTGAACAACACATCTCGGATGTAAGTCGTAAAGTGCTCACTATCCTCTGTAGTATCATGAATGTGTGTACAAAAATCCCTGACCATGTCAATATTTGCAAGCAAGGGTGCCGCAAATAGATTACTCCACCCTCAGGACTCAAAAATCAAAGGGACAATGGTAATACGTACCCTACTAAGGTCCAATAGGTCTAGATGAGAACTGTCTCCTATACAGCTCCAAATAATGTGGGGTTTGTAATCGACCTCACCCTCGTGCTGCATTTACCCTAGATCTCTTGTCAACCCCTCGTGGTATTTTTCAAAAACGATCGGTGAAGTAGTGTAAATGTGTATGATAAACACAGATCTAAAGTCAAAATACACTTAGTCTCACTCAATATAAACTTTGGATTCAAGGAAATGCTTTGGGTATGCTAGAAAAAATGTGAGTTCTTGCTTGGAAGTGGAGGGAATGAGAAAATCCCGTTAAAATCCATCTTTTTAATACAACAGTGTCAAATCTCGAAGCATACCGCTCGAGTGAGCCCTGCATCAGGGCAGTTCGGCTTTTGCAGTCTAGCTCACTGCCAATTTACTTCTATGAGTCCTAACATACATGGTGTATATTCAACTTAATTGCAATTAGATGCACATGCATGGATGAGTTTGGATCTAAATTAAATATAATTTTCAAATTAAACAATAAATACTCAAAGTTCAGAATCATGAAAATTGCACATGTTAGTATTATAATGGCTTCAACCAAAATTCATCATTTCAATACATTACTCTAAGGCATATTCAAAGATATTAATCTCAGTTTTATGTATCCTAGAGTAATGTTTCCTCACTTCGTTCAATTTCATTCACACGATTTCAAATTTTGTTCAATTTTGATAAATTCAAGTGTGACATGTGTGAAACTAAACGCCAACACAATTAGGATTCTGTGTAGTTCAAAATGTTAATAAACTCAACATGAAATTCTAATGCGTTGTCTAAGTGAATACATGACCGATTAGTGAGTGTCCTAATGATTTTCTTTTGACAACTCTCCTTTTCTTTTATCCTTTCTACCCTATGACTTCAATTAACACGATTGTAAATTTCGCACTATTTAGAGTATGCTTCTAATCATGTTTAACATGAGCTCTTTGACCTTTACAAATAAGAAATTGAATTAAGCGTTGGTACTCTCACAATTCAAGTGCAATTATTTTTACCATTTATTAATGGCTCACCTTTTAGATTTGACCACTTTGTGTTCTTTTCACACATTTGGTCTTCAACATCTTTTAAGGGATTGAGGTTTAATTAACCTTTAATCATATGTTTACCTTGCACCAACACTTAGAGTCAATTAAGATCATTTATAGCTTAAACCAATTGGACTCCTTAGTATGTAGGTGAATGGTTGCGTGTACTCGGTTTATGATTTTTTCAAAAGTAAATACTATCCAAGCATGCTAGGATGAAAGAAACTTTAGCTAATAAATCATGCACTAAGATTTATGCCATTAAGTTCTCAATCTCCTAATATGATTCATAGAAATGCACATTTCGACTTTGATTTAGATGAAATTATTATAATGCAAATCAAAGTGTGAATTACAATGATTATGATAAAAAAAAAATAAACAGTTAAAAAGTAAAGAGTACAATATTATGTTAGGAGAAAAAGAGAAGAAGAGACTGAATTAGAGAACAATATGTGTGTGAGCAGTGTTACTCTACACTCTCTTATTTATATTGAACCCTATCTTGGGTAATTACAATATTACCCTATATAAATATAAAACAAAAAATAAGAATTCAACTCTCCTCCTCTAGCTGGAGCACAAAGAAAAAAATGCCCATGCCCAGATTGAAACAAAAATTATTGAAGGTACCAT